CTCTGTTGACACCAAGTGGGAAAGCAGAAAAAATCACACTAGGGAATGGAAACAATTTACGAAATCGTTGAGAAACGCTACATAAAGAGCCAAGTAGAGACGGCCGCGTACAAGACCGTCTTTATTCACATTTAAAGGCACAACATTATGATTAAGACCACAAGGGAAGACTTTAACGAGGGGCTAAAGACTCCCATTGTCAGGTGAGACAAGGTAAAGGTGTACAGGCGCACAAAAGGGAAGAGGGGGAAGAGGGGAGTGTAAAGGGAAGAAAGGAAGTGGCGGAAACAGAAAGACCAAAGAGGAGTTTCTCAAGCCAAAATTTGTATCTGCAACTCTCTCTCTCTCTCTCTCTCTCTCTCTCTCTCTCTCTCTCTCTCTCTCTCTCTCTCTCTCTCTCAAAAGCTACGACCAGTTACATTGGTCAATTTTTCTTTGTCACGAGGAAACATCTTTTGGAGAGAGACGGGGTGGAGGTACAGACAGCCAGACAGACAGACAGACAGACAAGGAGGGGGGAGGGGGGGAAATGGGAATGGAAATTATCAGGGGAATGCGCCAAGCCATTACGACTATATAGCACTGGGACGGGATCAAGATAAGGATTTGGGATGGGACGCAGGGGAATGGGAACAGTGCCCAACCACATGGACGGTGGGGGGGGGGAGCATGCACCATCGACCACCATTGCAGGTAACAACAACAACCAAAAAAAAATATCAAAGAGTATAAAAGGATAAAAAGAAAGCCATATAATTAGGGCCTGTGCCGCTAATATTCATTATAAATATAATGATGCTGCTATAATGAACAGTAATCATGGCCCACTTTATTAAAACGAGTTCTTTTTTTTTTATCTAATAAATATTGAAGGCTTTTCTGCCGTGCGCAACCGCTACGGACCGAGCAACGGACGTCAGACGTCTGAATAAATATTGAATTTTTGGCTGTTGAAGTCGTATATAATAATGCAGTGAAAAGCCCAATAGGAAATAAACAAATTTCAAGATAAGGAGAAAGAGAGAGAGAGAGAGAGAGAGAGAGAGAGAGAGAGAGAGAGAGAGAGAGAGAGAGAGAGAGAGAGAGAGAGAGAGAGAGAGAGAGAGAGAGAGAGAAAGTGAAAGAGAGAGTAAGGGAAATAAAGGAGAGGGAAAATAATGCAATGGTGACAGAGAAAGATGGATACAGCAGGAATAATGATGGACCAAATGTTGGCGAATAACGAGGAAGATTGATGGAGATAGAGAGGGAGGAAGACTGATAAAGAAAGAGGGAGATTGATGAAGAGAAACAGAGATGGAGATTGAGAATAATAGAGTAGATGATACACAAAACATAAAAAAAGACAAACTAAAAACAATCATATTGTCGTGCTAAACTAAGACGACTTTTGCGAGACATGATCGCAACATACTAGATACGACGAGGCGACACCAGCATGTTGACCACAGGAGTAAGATCAGGACAAGGGAACAGGTAAGGGACGTGTCCAGAACAAACGTGGAAGCCTCGTACTCAGCTTCACAAAACTCACGTACTTAGAGTCATAAAAGGAGAAGAGGTGAGATAGAGAAAATGAAGTTTATATCCGGCAAACACACACACACACCATACACACACACACACACACATACACACACACACACGCCCCATACACACACACATACACACACGACCCAGCTGCCACAACAGAGGTCTGCCGCGAAACATGTCGGGGACGTGTTTGTGCCTAAATGCACCGTCATTTCATTTCCAAATACACACACACTCTTAATATGCAAACACGAACTTCGTTACATGTGCGTGGGAATGAGGCAGTAGAGAGAGAGAGAGAGAGAGAGAGAGAGAGAGAGAGAGAGAGAGAGAGAGAGAGAGAGAGAGAGAGAGAGAGAGAGAGAGAGAGAGATTAAAATACTGATAAAAAATATATTAAACCAAAACCATGTACGATTACTTTCATCCCGTTTAAAATATAAAATAAATGTTTCAATGAACAAATTGAGATTCAGTGCACAATGACTTACGGCAGCGACAGATGAACATTATGCACTGAACAACCAAGCGACTCTTATGAAAGAAAAATTACACGTATAAAAGGCAGTTTGGTAAGACACAGGGATGCTGCATCTTGCCTATGACAGTGCGAGCATCTCCCGAGTGAGCATCACCGCACTGTGGGGGTGGCACTGACCAGCATCTGGCACTCCTCACCATCCTCACTATACAACCTATCACCATCTTCATCCTTCTTTACGAAATACGTACGCATTTTACCTATATTATCTATACGTAGATATACATATAATATCTATATTCGCACATACATGTCTACGACAAGTTGCACTGGCAAAGGGGTGAGGGGGGAGGAGAAGAGGCAGGAGGGAGGGGGAGGACATGGCACTCATGTATGTTGTATAAAATCAGTTGTAACAATACCTTGAGTCTGGACGAGGGATGCAAGCAGCCTCTCAAGCCTCATAACAGCATCTTCACTTCTTACCTGGAAATGTAAAGAAATGCATTGTATAAATTGCTGTGGGGTATACACATTGTATAAATTGCTGTGGGGTATACACATTGTATAAATTGCTGTGGGGTATACACATTGTATAAATTGCTGTGGGGTATAACATTGTATAAATTGCTGTGGGGTATACACATTGTATAAATTGCTGTGGGGTATACACATTGCATAAATTGCTGTGGGGTATACACATTGCATAAATTGCTGTGGGGTATACACATTGCATAAATTGCTGTGGGGTATACACATTGCATAAATTGCTGTGGGTATACAATGTGCAACTCTACAGTTAACTGTTCATATATTTGTTTAAAAAACGACATGTCAAATATATCCTATCAATAGTCCTCTTTCCAGGTGTGCATATATGTACTAGATATATGTATACTATATATATATACCCGGGTTGCCAAAAAAAATAATAATGGAAAATAACGATAATAAATGGAAACAAATACGGCATCCCAGCGTATGTCAACACGTCCGTTCTCTCTCTCTCTCTCTCTCTCTCTCTCTCTCTCTCTCTCTCTCTCTCTCTCTCTCTGGAGGCAAGTGTGTGTATGGACTGAGAGTTGTATGGAGGGAGGGAGGTGTGTATGGGAGAGGGGTACGAAGGCCGACGCGGGAACTCGCGATACTGGAGCCTTGACACAAGGGACGTCATCAAAAATTAATCTTGGATCAGAGCAAAATGTTTAAGAACATGGTGGGGAAACAATGGTTCAGATGGTCGTGCCGGTGCCAGAGTCATTTGGAGTGCCGTGCATGGAGAGGTCACGTGTTACCCTGAGCAGTATTGCCGCCAAACCCCGACCCGCTCATGCCGGGCATTTACCCAAGAACAATCACCGTGCAAAGTTGGGTGAGGCTAAACGCAAGTGTCTAGCTACAATCAGGCTACACCAGTGTGGGGTCACAGCCACTGCTCACCCATCTACACCAGTCTGGGGTCACAGCCACTGCTCACCCATCTACACCAGTCTGGGGTCACAGCCACTGCTCACCCAACTACACCAGTGAGGTTCACATCACTCATCCAAGTAACTGAGCGCTCAAGACTTAAGACTTCCAATAGGCGTCAACGTATTACTCAACCAGAGAAATAAGCCGATAACAGAGGCTCCAAAACCGGTTGTTAACCCGTGTGCCCGACTGCGACAGAGTGCTACTCATGGCTATTAAACCCAGCTATTATACAGCAGCGGTTGGGCTCTACTTGTATTAAATGGACTGGATGCTATTTTGCTATTTTTTTTTAGGTGTATCTGAATCATATGTTTCACTAGTCATGGCTTTTTATGGTGCCTTTGCTATCAACTCATTTGCTTTTGCCTACAGCCAGTGTGATTACCCCTCAGTTATCCCCTCTCCTCTCCTCTCCTAGTTCCATTTTCTCCCTCCCTCTCCCTGGCAATTATTCCTCACCAATTATCTAGCCTCCCTATCCCACACATCTCCCTAAATTCCCCTCTGTCTCCCCTACGTCCGCCCTCAACTGTATTCCCCACTTCTATTTCTCCAAAAATTCTCATCTATAACTGTTTCTACATATTCTAGCCTTCCTATGCTCTTCTACACATTCTGACCTTCCCAAGCCTATCTTAGACTAGTACATATAGCTATGGTCCCGCTTCTTTCAAGGTCGGCGTTCGATTTCTTACGATTTTCTTCTCTCCGTCTTCACATCCCTTCTCCCTGTCCAATATCACGTACCAAAGTGTTATATTGACATATTGGCTTAGCGCTTTCTCTTCATAATTATCTTACCAACATTTAGCATTTCTCTCTCTCTTCCTCCCTTCTCTCCATCCATTTATATCTCCTTCCTACTCTAAATCTCTCTAAACCCTCCCCCTACATCCACCCTTTCTTCCCCTCTCTACATCCCCTTACCCCATCAACTAGGGGGACGAGCCCTTGATTGAGGAGTGGGTGCGTTCAGATTACGCTTTGGGCACATGGTTCCCGCTTAAAAGGATTGGATCTGTAAAAGCTATGAATACCATCCTATTTCTGAACACTGGAGTCGTTTGCATAACACTGCTACACCACCCACCGTGGCAACACTGTTTGTCTGGTTAAAACTGTGTGTGTGTGTGTGTGTATGTGTGTGTGTGTGTGTGTGTGTGTGTGTGTGTGTCTGTGTGTGTGTGTGTGTACTCACCTAGTTAGGCTTGCGGGGGTTGAGTTTTGTCTCTTTGGTCCCGTCTCCCAACTGTCAATCAACTGGTGTACAGGTTCCTGAGCCTACTGGGCTCTATCATATCTACATTTGAAACTGTGTATGGAGTCAGCCTCCACAACATCACTGCCAAATGCATTCTATTTACTAACTACTCTGACACTGAAAAAGTTATTTCTAATGTCTCTGTGGCTCATTTTGGGTACTCAGCTCCCACCTGTGTCCCCTTGTGCGTGTACCACCTGTGTTAAATAATTCATCCTTGTCTGTCCTGTCAATTCCCCTGAGAATTTTGTATGTGGCGATCATGTCTCCCCGAGCTCTTTTGTCTTCCAGAGCCGTGAGGTGAATCAGAGCATCATTTCACGCAGCTTTTCCTCGTAACTCATGCCTCTTAGTTCTGGGACTAGTCTAGTGGCATACCTCTGAACTTTTTCCAGCTTCATCTTGTGCTTGATATAGTTACGGGCTCCATGCTGGGACCGCATACTCCAGGATTGGTCGTATATAATAGTGGTATACAAGGTTCTGAAAGATTCCTTACACAAGTTTCTGAAAGCAGTTCTGGTGCTAGCCAGCCTTGCATACGCCGCCGATATTATTCTTTTTATGTGGGCTTCAGGAGACAAGTTTGGCGTGATATCAACTCCTAGATCTTTATCTCTGTCCGTTTCACGAAGTACTTCACCTCCCATTCGGTACTCCGTGTCTGCCCTTCTATTTCCTCCCCCTAGTTTCGTTACCCAACATTTACTCGGGTTGAACTTTAGTATCCATTTGTTGGACCATTCCTTCAGCTTGTCTAGGTCATCTTGTAGCCTCATACTATCTTTCTCGGACTTAATCCTCCTCATAATTTTTGCATCATCAGCAAACATTGAGAGGAACGAGTGTATTCCCTCTGAGAGATAATTTACATATATCAGAAACAGTATAGGTCCAAGGACTGATCCCTGTGGTACTCCACTGGTGACGTCTCGCCACTCCGAGACCTCACCCATATCACAGTGACTCGCTGTCTTTGCTTAGGTACTCCCTTATCCAATGGAGTACCTTCGCTTTCACTCTTGCCACTTATGTGGTACTGGGTCAAAGGCTTCCTGGCAATCCAAAAATATGCAATCTGCCCAGCCCTCTCTTTCTTGCTTGATTTTTGTTGCCTGGTCGTAGAATTCAATTAATCCTGTGAGGCATGACTTGCCATCCCTGAACCCATGTTGATGTTGTGCTACAAAGTTCTTTCGCTCCAGATGTTCCAGTAGCTTTTTTCGCACAATCTTCTCCATGAACTTGCATGGTATGTAAGTTAGGGACACTGACCTGTAGTTCAGTACCTCCTGTCTGTCACCCTTTTTGAATATCGGATCTACATTAGCTGTTAGTCACTTCCTATGTACAGTACACGCCTTTTAAAATATTTGGAAATGCTTAAATATTTATAATGAAGACCATTGGCTGTAAAGAGATGACCCCAGGAGCTGCTCTAGCTCCTGGGTCTTCCCTTTTCCTATTAATGGGTCTTATTATGTTGTTTGTACATAATAAGTGAAATTGAAAATCGAACCCTTGCTACAGCCGGGTCTCTATTTCCCCTCTTTACCCCAATCATCCCCTTTTCTTCCTTGCTCTCGTCCTCTTCTCTCCCCTCTCCCTGTCCACCAAAGTCCCAAAGAATGTATTATGAAGCACTTGTCACTTATAAAAAACTCTATGGGAAACACAACCATTTTTTCAGACTTACCATGAAATCGCATGGGGGAGTCCTCTATAATCCTGGCCGGGGAGGATTTACTGGGCGCAATTCCTTAACTGTAGCCTCTGTTTAACGCAACAGTAAAATGTGTACTTGGATGAAAAAACGATTCTTCGCGGCAGGGGATCGTATTCCAGGGACCATAGGATTAAGGACTTGCCCGAAACGCTACGCGTACTAGTGGCTGTACAAGAATGTAACAACTCTTGTATATATCTCAAAAAAAAAAAAAAAAAAAAAAAAAAAAAAAAAAAATGTCGATATTAATGCATTTCACTTGGGCCCACCCCGACAGACCTGTGACTCTCCCCTGCCCAACATGGTTCATCTTAGAGAGTTGGGCGAGGCTAACCCGTAGCCTCTGAACCACCTAGAAAAACACAAAGACACATTTCTCTATATATATATATATATATATATATATATATATATATATATATATTATATATATATATATATATATTTTATTTATTTATTTATACAGCAATCAAAATAGAAGTTCTTCAGCATAGAGTGCATACAACCCATGCTGTTCAGTATGTAATAAATATGCTAGCCACGTGTTATGTTGTAATGCTGATAACACGTGCTTCAGCATTCCACCAGTATACCACACATGCGTCGGGGCTTCAGTGCTACACGCATGCGTCAGTATACCGTCAAATGACACGTGGACACCTGCAGGCGATGAATCAACACTCACACACACACACACACAAACACACACACACACACCTCATCTCTTCACCACCGCCTCGAACGCCGCTCATGATAACAGTCAATTTATCCACCCAAAACCCTCACAGCTTCGGTAAACGTTTATGTAAAAAAAAAAAAGTTCATAAAAATAAGTCAACTCAATGGTTGAGGTCGCAGTGAAGAACACGCACAAAAACTGCCGCTCGCCGCCCCGTCGTAGGCTCAATGGACACCATCAACAAGGGAATAAAACTAATAAACAAGGGAATGGCGAAGATTTACAAGCGACCAAACAAAGTTCCCGGACAGAACAGACAGACAATTGAGCTCTGGAAAATAAAT